TTTTATTAAAATAACGAGTATATAAATGAAGTTATATTTATTTTAAAACGCGTCTTGAAAACCGTAAAAAGTCAAATGAGGCAAAAAAATTAGGAACGGAGGAAGTACCTCGTATTTAATGAGTGATCCAGTGTGGTTGAGTAGGTCGATCCATGTCGACCACAAAGGCTCAAATAGACAGTTATATTCATATACGCTACAATAAAGAAGGGGATAGTATGGAGGTTGACATGTTCTTTTCATACAGTTTAGGGGAGGTTGAAAGTGTTAAATGTTGTTATTGTATGAAACATCGATTTGTAAGGTGAGGGGGTAAGAGTGGGTGACATTAAATTAAATTTAATAAATATTTTTTTGGAAGGTAAATGTAATAAATATACTTGTGTAAGACAAAAGTTAACGAACATTTTGGGGGCGTTGGATAAGATAACTAAAAGTAGAAATATTAACTTGAAATAAACATTAATTACACCGATTAATGCATAATTTTGACATGTATTCCCAAATTAATACCATTTTAGAAACTATTTTAAAGGGTTATCTATCCCCCTGAGGACGTACGTTAGCAAGATCCTTGCAAAAATACTTGTCCACTGCAATTGATTATTGACATGGGCTAAAGTAGTGGTTGTTACATTTACTATACCAAATAATTACTAAATAATTATAGTTTTTGGCAAATATACAATATTCTTGTGTGAATTTTTTTTCTTTTTTATTTATAGGCTAGGGTTTATGTAAGGAAGTTGCTTGTTACACTTTTTTTTTTCTTTCTTTTCTTATCAATAACTCTCCGCTTTTCTAATTTACCAGTGGCGGATCTTGGGCCAAAAAGTTAAGAGGGCCAAGGTTTGATCCCTCAACCTTTTGCACAAAAATACAATACTTTAACCACTATGTCACAACATTTTATTTGTAATTATTAGACATCATATTACTCATAATCAACAACTCAAATATGCTTAAGGGGGGCCGGGCCCTTACCCGCCCTAACCAAGATCCGCCCCTGTAATTTACAATAAGTTGAATTTTATGTCCGTTTATAACTTTTCAGCTAGTTTTGGCCTAGTAGTAAAGATTTCAGGTATTATTATTATTATTATTATTATTATTATTATTATTATTATTATTATTATTATTATACAGTCTTCCGTAAATACTTCAATCAAATCAAAATCCAATCCAAAAATGTCTAAATCCAATTAAGATTCCGAGCAAACCGAAATTTAAACTTGTTCATTTAAATCCAACTCGAGAAATTGAATCTTAAAATATTGTACATACAAAGTATTATATAGTGGGTCTAATGGGCCTAATTTAGTTAATGAGATAAATAATATTAAGCAAAAATGTTAAATATTGTTGGAAAACAACATAAAACATATTATCCATAATGTTTGCAGTTAGTCTTATTTATTTGCACTTTTTTTGTTTCTTCGTTTTTGTATCAAAACAACATTAATTTGAATCCAACTCGATTAAAAAAAAAAATACGAAGTAAACATTAACTTTTGATCAATAGTTGTTAGAGGTTGATTGTCAACTTGTAAAGATTGTTGTTTGAATTTAATGTTATTTTGTAATAATGGCTTTAAATTGAACTTTTAAGTCACGTACTATTGCAACATTAATTTTAAATCTTTCATTGCCCTACTTACAAACTACGAATAACTATAAACAACAACCATTGTAGAGAAACCTTACTACATACTAATCCGTACTGTACTGCATTAAAACCTTACAAGAAGAAGCTCTTTATATAAAATATGTCGTTTTATCGACCATTTGATGGACTAAAAATAAAAATAAAAAGAATTGTCCTGTCGAGCCAAAAGCTCAATGCAGATCAATTAAATCAAGGTTAGCAAGTTAGGCCCTTTAAATATGGAGGGGAGGGGGATGAGAAATCTTCATCCAAAAAACTCCTAATGGAGAATAAACCTCCAACTACTAAGCGCATGAAAGGTGAAAGGTGAAAGGTGCAAGGTGCAATTCTTATTAGTAGACCGAATTTAGCTTGTTGACTATAATTGACTTTTAAAAGTATGCAATACTTTAAGGAGGAAAAAGTACGAATACCAAAATACCATATACATAAATTGAAATATTTTTGCCAAGTAAAACTTAATTAACTGCAACATACAAGTATTAAACTATTAATTTGCAAAATTTATGAACAGAATAATATGCATCCTACAAATTTGTTATTTTATCGTTGATAATAACTTTATTTGGATTTCATATTTGACAACATATTTTATCTCCAGCTAAAAATATCAAAGATATGCAAATGTTGATTTTGCTACATTCTCCGTACAAATTGTTTAGTTTGGATTATTTTTAGTTATTACGTCGACAATACATCATATCAATTGAAGTCGATTGTTGAGATTGGACCCATTCTTATAAATCTTGTAAGATTTTCAATCAATTTGATGGCAGAATTATGGGACCAACATCAATGTTTCTCCGCATTAATCAGTTTCAACATAGTTACAATTTTTTTTCTTTTCACGATTTCTAATTACTTAAGTTTCATATATATAGGTGAAAAACTACAAAAAGTTAATTTTTTAAAAGTAACAACAATAGTGATATATATATATATATATATATATATATATATATATATATATATATATATATATATATATATATATAAATAATGTTTAGCTTTCAAATATCAACTTTTAATAATCTATACTTGTTGATAATCAAATACAAAGTATATTATTAGTCAAATTTCTACCTTGACATATAAACTCAATTAAAATGGGACACTTAAAAAATACTGATGGAGTAATCCCTATTAAAATTTACCCTTCAAAAGAGAATTAGCGCAACTATTTTCAAACAGTTATACTTATTTCATTCCTTTTTTACATCTCCACCTACCTTCTATTTATGGCCTAACTAGGCCCTAGCATTTCCTTCCAACTCCTATTTATAGGCAATATCTAGGTTTAGCATTCCCTCTTACACTATATCATTTCCTTTTTACTTAAGAAAAAGAAAAGGGGAAAGATGGAGTTTAGCTTTGTTAAGATTGAGCACTACCTTAATTCCTTCAAATCATCCAATGCTTTTTTACCAACAATTTTGTTCATTCTCTTAGTACTCATTTTTTACTTTAAGTCTAAAAAAAGAACTATCTACCTCTTAGACTATGCATGCTATAAACCTCCACCAACATTAAGAGTCCCATTTTCGACCTTTATTGAGCATGCTATGATCGTCTTTAAAGACAATCCTAAAGTTGCGCGTTTTCAAATGCGTATTCTTGAGAGGGCCGGACTAGGAGATGAAACGGGGCTTCCCCCCGCGCTACAATTCATACCTCCGGAACCCTCATTTTCTAGGACATATGATGAAGCTCTTCTCGTTATCTTCTCTTCTATCGACGAGCTTCTTAAGAAGACCGGCGTTAGACCCAACAATATTAGCATAATTATCACAAATTGTAGCATTTTTTGCCCTACTCCATCATTGTCATCTATGATAATGAATAAATATAAAATGAGAAGTTGTACAAAAACATTTAGCCTTTCGGGTATGGGTTGTAGTGCTAGTGCAATTTCATTAGACTTGGCAAAAAGACTCCTACAAGTTATGCCAAATTCTTATGCACTTGTTGTTAGCACGGAGATCTTAACCCCTAATTGTTACATGGGCTCAGAACGGTCCATGACCGTTCCAGGATGCCTATTTAGATTGGGTTGTAGTTCACTCTTGTTAACTAACAAAAGGGAAGAAAGATATCGCGCCAAGTACCAACTCCTTCATACAATTCGAACCCATATTGGGGCTATTGATGCATCCTATACGAGTGTGATGCAACAAGAAGACGACGAGGGTAGATTGGGAATTGCACTATCCAAGGACTTGTTGGTGGTAGCCGGGGAAGCACTCAGGTTAAATATCACTACACTTGGGCCATTAGTCTTGCCCTTATCAGAAAAGCTTAGGTTCGCATATAATTACGTAGCCCGAAAAATATTAAGGCACAAAAAAATTAAGCCCTACATACCAAATTTTAACAAGGCATTTGATCATTTTTGTATCCATGCGGGTGGTCGGGCCGTGATCGAAGAGATCCAAAAGGCCCTTCGGTTGTCGGCCCAACAAGTGGAAGCTTCGAGAATGAATCTATATAGGTTTGGAAACACATCATCTTCTTCTATTTGGTATGAGTTGAGTACATAGAAGCAAAAGGAAAAATGAAGAAGGGAGATTGTGTTTGGCAAATAGCATTTGGAAGTGGATTTAAGTGTAATAGTATAGTATGGAAGTGTAATAGAAATATTGATCCAAAAATTGATGGGTTTGGGCCTTGGAAGGATTGCATTCACAAGTATCCTATGGATGTTCCGGAAATTCGGAAGTTATAAATTGTAGGAAGAAAAGTTTGGCAACATTTTTGCCAACTTTAGAAATTGCATTGCTCACTTACTTACCGAAAAATGTAAAATGAGCCATTTTTAAGTATTGTTTGTTGACTTGCTATTATAATTTAGTATGTTCTTTGGTTTCATATTGTTTGATTAATGATTAATATTTTATGAATGTTTTTTCTAGTATAGAGTTAAGTATGCAAGATCGTTTGCAGTTTTGTATAAAATGGCTTAAGCTTAACGTTTAAAGGGTTCGTGTTTGATGTATAACAAATTAAGATGGCTTTAGGGTTTAAACATGGTGCATAACAAATTAAGATGGTTTCTAGGGTTTACTTGTTGACTTATTTATAAGTGAAACATATACTTTTTAAATTTTATAATGATATTAAATTTATAAAGTATGTAAGGCTCCTTTTCAAGTCTCATTCCAAAATTTGATCTGATCCAATCTTAATCCTTAATGAACTTTTTCTTTGTTTCTCTAAAGAGTATGACAAATACGAAGTACAATAGTTCTTTCTCCAAAAATAAGAAGTGTGTCCTTTCAACGTTCTCTCTTATATAGTCCGTAATTCGTATGTGGGTAAGTTTGGACTAAACTATTCTACCAACGCAACTCTTGTTACCAAATACTTGTGAAAGAGCGGATTGCAGCAGTCAAACCTCTATTGAGGCCCAAACCGCAAACTTTTGCTTAAAACGCTTATTAGTACCAAACACCCTTCATCTAATTTACCCGGCAACGGAGACGAAATCTCTGTATTTTTCCAGGTATTTTGTTTCATCGAATTAATAGATGAATTTAGTGTAGATGAATTTTTTTATTTGTGATGATAAACTATTTAAATTTTATATATTTTCAATTTACTCCTAACAGGTAATTATTATGCTACGAAAAAATTCGAGTTGCTATTTTGCGAATAATTGTAATGTTGTTGTAATCTTGTTCGGTTGTTCCCAGGTGCCAGTTTTCTCAAATAATTAAAATGGGGGTTTCAGATTCTTTTTTAAAATTTGTTAGAAATCTTAGATGATCAAATATCTGATCTTTGGAATATGAAATGTAAAGTCAGTTTTTGGAATTTTGTTTTTTGTAATAATCTAAATTTGACACAATAATTATTTGATTGGTAATTTAGATTATCTTCTTGAAAGAATTATATGTTAATCTTCATAACATATACTGTAGTATGTTGGATTGTTGAGTTAGAATAAGTTTACAATTTGTGGTCTCGAAAAGATTGAAGCTGAATAAAATCGTTGTTGGGTATGTTGTTACAGAATAATTGGTCTGGTCTATTGGGGTTTGAATGCTTTTCTACTAATGCAACCTTGTTTATGTTTGTGTTTTTGAGTATGAGTAAGATATTAAGATATATCTGAAAAACTTAATTTGGGAGTTGAGAGGTTGTTTGAATGTTTGAATAGAGATATGGGTGATGGAACAACTTCAATTGATCGAATCTCGGAACTACCTGACTTCATTCTTCACCATATATTGTCATATCTTTCGACAAAAGAGGCTGCTCAAACGGGTGTTATATCCAAGAGGTGGCAATATGTTTGGGAAACATTTCCCATCCTTGATTGTAATGAATGGTTTTTCGGAAGAGAATTGGATATACTTAATCCGAAGGAGCTTGGGATTCCTAAAGATGAGCGTCGTAAGATTTTTAATCGAAGATTGAAGTTCATGAGTTATGTTGATGAGAAGCTTCGTCGATTTCGTGAGGAGAATCTTTGTGTGAAGAAGTTTTTCCTTCATATAACCCTTGTGAGTAACAATTTGACCCCTCGTGTTGATACGTGGATGGACCTGGTAGCTGATTTGTGCATTCAGGAATTAGATCTGTATATTACTATGGGAAGAGAAAGACTCTATGACCTGTCTAAGAAGTTACTTACAATGGAATCGATAACCGTTTTAACTTTTAAGAGGCTGCCTTCTATTAAGCAGCCGTCTTGACAGGAATGCTGTTAAGCTATGCTCTTTGGTCGAGCTGCATCTTAGGGATGTCTCTATAGATGAGGATACAATTCAAGATCTCATTTTCTCCATTCATTCAATGAAAGTATTTTCTTTAAAGAATTGTTTAGGTTTTGAGAATCTTGAAATATGTGATCATGATAAGCTGGAGAAGGTGGTGTACCATCCTCATAAAGACTTCAAAGCCAAAACGTTTAGCATTAAGGTGCGAACATTAAAAGAAATTGATTTTTGTAGTGTTGATGAAGAAAAGAGGGCATGTGAAATTATTGTCAGTTCTGTTTGCCAAAATCTGAAACGTTTGTCTGTGGGGTATTCCCGTTGATGCAAAGTGGCTACAAAACATGATTACATCCTTTCCTCTGCTTGAGAATCTGTATTTGGGTGGATGCATATTGCAAGAAGTTATGAAACTCTCAAGTCAAGTTCTCAAGGAGATGCATGTTTGCAATTGTATGAAACTGGTGGAAGCAGAGTTTGATACACCTAATGCACATTCATTCGTGTATCGTGGTGGGAAGACCATGCCTCGCTTATATTCAAGCAGTGTTGCTGCTTATCGGACAGCAGAGCTTTCTGTTCGTCTTGAAAATATGGACAGTGTATGGTTCATGAGGTTGAACAACTTTCTCAAAGATAACAAATTTCAGGACCTGACTTTTTGTATGACTGCTAAATCAGTATGTTTGCCTTTCAACCTTGTAGTGCTTATATAAATCCATTTTGAAGATTTATTCCTATGCTTATTTTGGACAATATTTTTCTTGGTTTGTCAGGATAAGGCTATCTCTTTCGATGTTGAGGACTATGTGGGAATCCATTTTTCTCCCTTGGAACTCAACACTATGAAATTGGTTACGCATACATTGACATCAGTAAACTATGCAGCTCTTTTAGATGCCTTATTTTGGAACTTGCGTCCCAGGATATTGTCTTTAGAGCTTAATTATTATTCTCCTGAATTTTTTAAGGTATGCCTTCATTTCTCCTATCTATCACTTTATATATTGGTTTGCAATTGACTAATGACAAGTTATCGGTTACGCATCTTAAATGCTCCTTGCTCGGTTGTTCATGGTTTAAGAAACGTATGAATGCTTTGAGAAGAGCTTCTACTAATACCGAGGATGAGTTAAAATGTTGAACTGTAAAATATTGTTGCAGGGAATACTGAAAGGTTTGGTGGCTAAAGAAGAACCAAATTGTTACTGCTCTCAGAATCTTGAATGTTGGCGTCACTCATTGAAGGACATAAAGCTAATTAATGTGAAAGGTTTGAAGAGTAATATTGTGTTTAATGCGATGACCCTGAACAAGTTGACTAATTTCTTGGATGATTGGCTGATTGAAGCCCAGAAAACTGTTAAATCTTGTGAACATCTCAAAGTACAAACTTTATCTTTTCAATTGTCTTGGTAATGTATTAATATTGTACAGTAACAACACCTTATGTGAGGTGTGGTATAGTAAAAGCGGGAATATATGCGATGTCCTTATGCTACTAGTGTTTGGAAGGCTTCTTATATTGTAGACTTCCAATATTTGGTGATGTAGTGGGATGGGTAGAGTGGTTTTTTTTTTTTTTTTTTTTAATTCTTGAAGTAAAAAAGAGTAGAATAAACCTGTGAATGAGAGGAATAAACCTGCTGGGAATATGGTAGCAACGAGGTCTGATGCAGTTTGGCATCCTTCTGTAGCTGAAGCAGAAGGTGAAACTGATTACTGATGTATGGTGCTTGCTTTGGAGATCGAGGTGGGAGTTGGCATGGGAATTTTAATTAGATACCATAGTGGGGGTCTGTACAATGGACTGTCTGTAAGCAGTTGAAGCAATCTTTGGATGCTAACATTGTGGAAGAAAAGGCAATCGTGCTTGAACTTCTGATGGTTCTGCAATGCAATTTCTGTGCTATAATTTTTCAAAAGCGACTGTTTGCAGGTTGTTAGTATGGGACTTACTTAGGTGTAATAGTGAGGGAAGCTTTAAATTTGCTAAATGTTTTGATTTAGGTGAGCATGTTCATATTTCAGAGAAGCTACTGAGGTTGCTCATGCCACGGCACAGCCTTATTAACCCCCTTGATTGCCCTATAAGAGTGTGGGTTGGGGTTGTCCGTTGGTTGTGGAGGATGTATTATCTTCAAACTATTGTCTATAAATAAAAGCTAATATAATGATGATTTATCTAAGCAAAACACCTTATTGACAAACTTACAAGTGCTATCTAGTAATCTACGAGTCATCTTTTCAACATATAGCAGCTCTTCCACTCCAGGTATGCTATGTGGTCGTTGCTCTCGTTCCCAAATCCTGAGTTTGGCTAGCATCAGTACCATTCAAGTTATCACCATCTAGTAGTTATTCCAGAGTTGCTTCACAACCTTTTAAATTTGTTCGCAACACTTATTCTTGGCTAGTAATACTTCTCAAGATCTCTGTACAATTAGAAACACCCCTTTGGATAATTTACTTGATGGAAGACGAGGGGTTGACGTTAGGAGACCATCTTGGACAACCACATTAATACTTGGACTGCCTTTGTTAACTCATGCATGATTAACCGAATACCTACTTTGATTTGTTAACTCATGCATGATTCACCTTTGACCTACTTTTTATGATTGATCGTTTATTTAAATGCAACATTTTTAAAAATGAAAACATTCTATTCTTTCTATATATCTCTTGTCACATGATCCTCACCTCTGCCATACTTACATATTTATAGTACTTTTACCTAAATAATTCACCTAATATTACTTTTACATAAATCCAATTGTATAACAAAAAATTGGGTGTTTCTATCAATCTTCTCTAAGCTCTCTTGAACTCTTTCTCTCCTCTCAGGCTATCACCATTCCATCAAAATCAAAAAATTGAAAGGTAATTTTTTTTTTCAATTTTCAGTTTAAATTTGTGTGTTAATTACATAAAATGATATTAAAGAGTATATTTGCATTTTATTACAGATTCTGGATTATTGGATTATTGGGGGTTTGAATGCTTCTCTTGTTTTGCTGCATTTAGAGTTTTGATTAGATAATTTTAAACCTGCATAACTTAAAATTTGATAGATATGGATGATGAGGGAAAAACCTGTATTGATCGAATATCCAAACTACCTGACTTCATTCTTCACCATATATTGTCTTGTCTTTTCACAAAAGAGTCTGTTCAATTGAGTGTTATATCCAAGAGACGGCAATATGTTTTGGAAACGTTCCCCATCCTTGATTGTTGTGAAGGGTATTTCGGAAAATATTTGCGTGTAATCCGAACCTGAAAAGGATTCCTGAAGATGAGTGTCGTTAGATTTTTAATCAAAGAGTCGAGTTCATGAGCTACATTGATAAGAAACTGTGTCGATTTCGTGAAAAGAATCTTCGTGTGAACAAGTTCTCTCTTGGTATAACTCTTGTGAGCAACAAGTTGGCTCCTCGTGTTGATACATGGATGGAATTGCTTGCTGGTACTTGTATACAGGAGTTAAATGTGTATATTCGTGCAGGACATGAAAGACGACATGATCTGTCTAAGATTTTATTTACAATGGAGCCATTAACTGTTTTAATTTTACAAGGTCGTGTTCTATTAAGTAGCTGTCTTGATAGGAATGCTGTTAAGCTATCCTCTTTAGTTGAGCTGCGTCTTATTGGTGTCTCTATAGATGAGGATACAATTCAAGATCTCATTTTCTGTTGTCGTTCAATTAAAGTATTCTTTTTGATGAACTGTGTGGGTTTTGAGAATCTTGAAGTATGTGATCATGATAAACTCGAGAAGATGGTGTACAACAATTTACATAGAGATGTCAAAGACAAAAAGTTTAGCATAGAGGTGCCAACATTAAAAGAACTCGAAATCACTTTTCGTAATGGTGGTGAAGAAACAATGGTATGTGAAATCATTGTCAGTTCTATTTGCCAAAATCTGAAACGTTTGTCTTTGTGGGGTATTCCTGTTGATGCAAAGTGGCTACAAAACATGATTACATCCTTTCCTCTGCTTGAGAATCTGTATTTGGGTGGATGCATATTGCAAGAAGTTATTAAACTCTCAAGTCAAGCTGTCAAGGAGATATGTATTCACAGCTGTATGAAGCTGATGGAAGCAGAGTTTATACACCTAATGTACATTCATTTAAATATTGTGGGCAGACTATGCCTCGCTTATATTCAAACTGTGTTACTGATTATCGGACAGCATATTTCTCTTCCCGTCTTAAAGATATGGACAGTTTATGGTTCATGAGGCTGTACAACTTTCTCAGAGATTTCAGATTTCAAGACTTGACTATTTGGATGATTCCTTATTCAGTATGTCTGTCTTTCAACTTTGTAATTGCTATTTTGATTATTCCTTTGGTTATTTTGTGATAATATTTTTCTTGATTTGTCAGGGCAGGGAAATTTCCTTCAATGCTGAGGACTATATCGGAATACAGTTTCCTCCCTTTGAACTCGACAATATGAAGTTGTTTATGAATGTATTTACATCAATAAACTATGCAGTTCTTTTAAATGGCTTATTCTGGAACTTGCGTCCTAGGATTCTGGAACTCGACAACTATGAATGTATTAGTTTTTTTTTTTTTACTTTCAAAGTGAAAGTGAAAGGAAAAGGATAAGGGATTGAACATTTGAACCCCAACCTCAATAAGAGATTAAAATGGCTCTAATGGGATTGAACCCCAACCTCAACCAAATTTAGGTTTGTACATACTGTACTCAATTAGCTACACAAACGTAGCTTCACCATTAATATACTTATTTTTTTCTTTTCATTTGTACATTATTTTTTTTGACGGGATCATACGTACATGGTACATGAATTAGTTGTATACTTTCTCCGTTTAACTAAAAGTACAACAGTTGAAAATTTTCCGATTAATCAAAATTTATAATAATCCCATCCCAAACCCAGAAAAACCTAACTCCAGTATTTAGTCAGACTTCCATTTTAACACCCTCATTTTTCTCTCTTTTCTCTTCAATCTCTCTCTTCGTAATTCTTGAGGAGCTTGCATATATTTTCATTCTGGTAAGTTTTCGCCCTATACATTCTCAATTTTAAGAATTTGAAGCTTATTTTGATTTTTTTTTTTTTTTTTGTTATGGACCCCTTTGTTAATTAATGTTCGATATTGTGTATAAACATTCTTGATGAACTAATTGATAATTGCTGATTTTATTGGTTGATTTCATGCCCAATTTCATGTTACATTGATGACTTGAATATGTAAAATATTTCCATAAATTATGGATTCCATATTTCAGAGGATAGCTTCGTTAAATAATAATCTAGGTTTTTTTTGTAAGAATTTCTGCAAATTGTACTCATTGGTGATCATATATTGTTATTTGGAGAATGCCCTATTGTTTGCTGATAATTTCTGAACTTGAAAAACAGAGGAAATAAATTGAAACCCTGATGAGCAAATTCATTCAACAAATTGAAAGGTAATTATTTTTTCAATTTCGGTTTACATTTTTGTGTTAATTTTAAAAATGATATTAAAGAGTATATTTGCATTTATTACAGATCCTGGATTATTGGGGATTGAGTGCTTCTCTTGTTGTGCAACATTTAGAGTTTGGAGTAGATAATTTTTAATCTAAATAACTTAAAACTTGAGAGATATGAATGATGAGGGAAAAACCTGTATTGATCGAATATCCGAACTACCTGACTTCATTCTTCACCATATATTATCTTATCTTTTTACAAAAGAAGCTGCTCAATTGAGTGTTATATCCAAGAGATGGCAATATGTTTGGGAAACATTCCCCATCCTTGATTTTCATGAAGGGTATTTTGGAAAAGATTTGTGTGTAATTAATCCGAAGCAGAATTGGATTTCTAAAGATGGGCGTCGTAAGATATTTAATCAAAGAGTCAAGTTCATGAGCTATATTGATAAGAAATTGCATCGATTTCGTGAGAAGAATCTTCGTGTGAACAAGTTTTTTCTTAGTATGACTCTTGTGAGTAACAAGTTGGCTCCTCGAGTTGATACATGGATGGATTTGCTTGCTGATATGCGCATTCAGGAGTTAAATGTGATTATTCGTGCAGGACATGAAAGACGACATGACCTGTCTAAGATATTATTTACAATGGAGTCATTAACCCTTTTAATTTTACAAAGTTGTGTTCTATTAAATAGCCGTCTTGATAGGAATGCTGTTAAGCTATCCTCTTTAGTTGAGATGCATCTTATTCGTGTCTCTATAGATGAGGATACAATTCAAGATCTCATTTTCTGTTGTCATTCAATGAAAGTATTCTTTTTGATGAACTGTGTGGGTTTTGAGAATCTTGAAATATGTGATCATGATAAGCTCGAGAAGATGGTGTACTATTCTCAAAGTGGATTCAAAGACATAGGCATAAAGGTGCCAACATTAAAAGAACTCATTATTCATAATGGTGGCGAAGAAACGATGGTACATGAAATCATTGTCAGTTCTGTTTGCCAAAATCTGAAACATTTGTCTTTGTGGGGAATTCCTATAGATCCAAAATGGCTACAGAGCATGCTTACATCCTTTCCGTTGCTTGAGCATTTAGTCTTGCAAAATTGCGTATTGCAAGAATTTATGAAGCTCTCAAGTCAAGTCCTGAAGGAGATGCATTTGTTGCATTGTACGAAATTGATGGAAGCAGAGTTTGATACACCTAATTTACATACATTTGAATATTGTGGGAAGACCATGCCCCGTTTATATTCAAATAATGTTTCTGATTATCGGACAGCAGAGCTAGAGGTCCGTCTTGAAGATATGAACCGTTTATGGTTCATGAGGTTGAAATACTTTCTCAAAGATAACAAATTTCAAGACCTGACTTTCTCCATGACTTCTATATCAGTATGTCTGCCTTCCAACTTTGTAATTGCTTTATTATTCCATTCTAAAAATTATTTTCAGACAATTCTTATATTTGGTTTTTCAGGGTGAGGTGATCTCCTTCAATGGTGAGGACTATATGGGAATCCAGTTTGCTCCTATTGAACTCAATAATATGAAGTTGGTTGCGTATTCATTGAAATCAATAAACTTTGCAGCTCTTTTAGATAGCTTATTTTGGAACTTGCGTCCCAGGATTTTGTCTATACAGCTTGAATTTTATTCTTCTAAAAAATTTATCAAGGTATGCCTTCATTTCTCATATAATCACTTTTATAGGTTTGCAAATAATTAATAACAAGGTTGTCAAATTACACATCTTAATAGTTCCTTGCTCGATTGTGTATGTAAAATATTGTTGCAGGGACTACTGAAAAGTTTGGTGACTGTTGAAGAACGAAAATGTTGCTGCTCTCAGAATCTTGAATGTTGGCGTCACTCATTGAAGGATATAAAGCTGATTAATAATGTGAAAGGTTTGAAGAGTAATACTGTATTTAACGCGATGACCCTGAACAACTTTACTAATTTTGTGGATGATTGGAAGACTGAAGCCAAGAGAATAGCCAAATCTACTGCTTTTGTCAAAGATGAAACTTTATCTTTTCAATTGTCTTGGTAATAACTAATAAGACTGTTTGTAAGCAGTTGATGCAATCTTTGGATGCTAACGCTGTGGAAGAAAAGACAATCGTGCTTGGAGCTCTGATGGCTCTGAAATGCAATTCTTGTGCTAATAATTGTTTATCTTTTAAAGCCACTATTTGCAGGTTGCTAGTATGAAACTTACTTAGGTTATAACAGTAAGGGAAGATCTAAAATCTGCTAAATGTTTATATTTAGGTGAGTATGTTCGTATATCAGAGAAGATACCGAGGTTGGTCATGCTACAACACACCTTAACCCCCATTGATTGCTCTACAAGAGCATGGGTTGGGTATGTTCGTTGGTTATGAAGGATGTGTTTGCTTCGGGTTGTTGTCTTTCTGTATATAATTAAAAGTTATTACTCTGTAATATTTCGTATATAATTAAGAGTTTTCAAAATATGAGATTAATAAGTGTACTTAGGGGTAGGGATTCCCTCTACTCCCAAGTGTCTGACTCGCAAATACTAAACTAAAAAAATTGTGAGGGTTGAGGTCTATTCTAGGTCTACCTTACCATTAACAAAAATAATAATACATGTACTGATGTACATATGAAAAAAAATAAAATAAAATAAAATTGTACTCAAATTTACTAAAAAGGTAATGCTATATGTAATCCTTACGGCTATGGATAAGCATATTTTTTTTAATTTGGTATTAATTTAGGAATGCATAACGCACAAATTAGTGTAATTAATGTTATATTTTTTTTCTTGTCAAAATAAAAATGTTATATTTTCATTTTTTTTTTTCATTCATTTCTAACTCCTTATTTTTAGCCTTCGGTTATGTTAATCAAAATCAATAACTATATATATACTCTGTACTAAAAGATACACCAGCAATGACACGTGTCACCTTCTGGTGTGTCTTTAGTTTTTTTTTTTTTTTTTTTTTTTTTTGCTAAATAAAATTCGGTTAAAGAAACAAATCTTATACAAAAATAATTCGCTAATCTTATACAATATAATTACTTAAAATAAAAAAAGATTTGACAATCTTTAACTCAAATATTTATGTAACACATCTTTCGTAACTCTTTATTTTTAACAAAATTTGTCAACCATATTTTTAGATTTTTTTTTAATAAAAAACAAATTATAACAAAGTTTAATAATAATTATTGAAAGTTACGGGAACTAACCTACTCCATCCGTTCCTGCTTTCCTATTTGGAGTTTTAAAATGTTATTCATATTTCTATTTTTAGATAGTATGTAAAGACCATTATACCCTCACTTTTTTAACTTTATTTATTGTACTTCCTAAATTACCCTTGCATTTTGCACATGCCTTGTATTATTTTCCATTTTCTCTCTTTAACTTTGTCTATAATTCTACTTTTTACTTTTATTGATGTACTTCATCCACTTTCTCATCCTATTTCTTAAATACCGTGAAAAAACAAAAATAGAAACTATATTATGGAACGGAAGGAGTAGTTCATAATAATTTTATCCTAAACCCAGGAAAACCTAACTCGAGTTAAGGCCTTGTTTGGTTGATGTAGGAAGTAAATTCCTATAAAAAATTCTAATTCATGGGAAATTATTCTTTTATTAAAATTCCTAGGAATTACATACATATGTTTGGTTGACACGTAGAAATTTGTAAATCCTACAAATTGTAAATGACTAAGGGAGGGGTGGATAAGTAAGATCCCATACTTCTATTTTTACACCTTCATTTTTTTTCTCTCTCTTCTCTTTAATATCTCTCTTCGTAACAAGGGCTGTTCTTCAGGAGGTAAGCTTTAGCCCTTTCTATCCTCAATTTTAAGAATTTAAAGTTTAATTTTGATTTGGGGTTTTTTTTTTACCCCTTTGTTAATTAATGCTCAATATTGTGTATAAACATTTTTTATGAACTACGGAGTAATTGCTAATTTTATTAGTTGATTTCATGCCCAACTTCATGTTACATTGATGACTTGAATATGTAAAAAATTTCCCATAAATTTTGGATTCCATATTTCTGAGGATAGCTTCGTTAAATAATAATCTAGGTCTTTTTTTTTGGTAAGAAATTCTGCAAAGTGTACTCTTTGGTGCTCATATATTGTTACTTGGAGAATGCCCTTTTGTTTGCTGATAATTTCGGAACTTGAAAAACAGAGGAAATAATTTGAAACCCTGATGAGCAAATTCAACAAATTGAAATGTAATTATTCTTTGAATTTCAGTTTACATTTCTGTGTTAATTACATAAATGATACGAGTATTAAAGACTATATTTGCATCCTGGATTGAATGCTTCTCTTGTTGTGCAACATTTATAGGTTGGAGTAGATAATTTGTAATTTGAATAACTAAAACTTGAGAGATATGGATGATGAGGGAAAAACCTGTATTGATCGAATATCCGAACTACCTGACTTCATTCTTCACCATATGTTGTCTTATCTTTCAACAAAACAAGCTGCTCAAATGGGTGTTGTATCCAAGAGATGGCAATATGTTTGGGAAACATTTCCCATCCTTGATTGTCATCAACAGTATTTCGGAAAAAGATTATATGTAACTAGCCCAAAGGGGCAAGGGCTTCCTAAAGATTAGCGACGCAAGATTTTTAATCAAAGACTGAAGTTCTTGAGCTATATTGATAAGAAATTGCTTCGATTTCATGAGGAGAAACTTCGTGTGAAGAAGTTTTTTCTTGATATAACCCTTGTGAGTAAAGTTTTGGCCCCTCGTGTTGATACGTGGATGAAAGTGGTTGCTAAAAGGAGTATTCAGGAGTTAATTCTGTATATTTCTACTGGAAAAGGAAGACTTCATGACCTTTCTAAGATTTTATTTACAATGGAGTCACTAACTGTTTTACATCTAACTGGTTCTATCCTATTAAGTAGCCCTCCTGATAGTAAAGCTGTTAAGCTATGCTCTTTAGTTGAGCTGGATCTTCAGTTTGTCACTATAGATGAGGATACAATTCAAGATCTCATCTCCTCTATTCAATCAATGAAAGTGCTCTCTTTGAGGGATTGTTCGGGTTTTGTGAATCTTGACATATGTGGTCATGATAGACTGGAGAAGATGGTGTACTGTCCTCATGGAGATTTCAAAGCGAAAAGGTTTAGCATAAAGGTGCGAACATTAAAAGAACTCGATTTTTTTAAGTTTGACCAAGACATTGACCCAGAAACATTGTCAGTTCTGTTTGCCAAAATCTGAAACGTTTGTCTTTGTGGGTTATTCCCATTGATGCAAAGTGGCTATAAAGCATGATTACATCCTTTCCTCTGCTTGAGCATCTGTCTTTGGGTGGACGCATGTTGCAAGAAGCTATTAAACTCTCTAGTCAATCTCTCAAGGAGATACGTTTTAATGATTGTATGAAACTGGTGGAAGCAGAGGTTGATACACCTAATTTACAATCTTTTAAATATAGTGGGAAGACCATACCTCGCTTATATTTAAACAGCGTTGCTGATTATCGGACAGCAGAATTCTCTGCCCTTCTTGAAGATATGGACAGTTTATGGTTCACAAGGTTGTACAACTTTCTAAGAGATTTCAAATTTCAAGACCTGACTATTGAGATGTGTTCTATACCAGTATGTCTGTCTTTCAACTTTGTAATTGCTATTTTGATTCCATTATAATAATTATTCCTTTGGTTATTTTGTGATAATATTTTTCTTGGTTTGTCAGGGTAGGGAAATCTTCTTCAATGCTGAGGACTCTATCGGGAAACAGTTTCCTCACTTTGAATTCAACAATATGAAGTTGGGTATGCTTATGTTTGGGACGACATCAATAAACTATGCATCTCTTTTGGATGGCTTATTCTGGAACTTGCGTCCTAGGATTCTGTCATTTAAGCTTTCTCTTATTCCTAAAATTTTGAAGGTATGCCTTCTTTTGTTTTTTTAATCGCTTACACTATTGGTTTGCATTGTAGTGACAAATTTTAAGTTATCAGTTTATGCAATTGCTCAATTGTTTATAGTTTGCAAAATGCTTTGAGAAAAAAAATCTAGTAATACAGAGTATGATTTGAAATTTTAAATTGTTAAATATTGTTGCAGGGGCTACTGAAATGTTTGGTGGCTGAAGGACCAAATTGTTACTGCTCTCAAAATCTTGATTGTTGGCGTCACTCGTTGAAGGGTATAAAGCTGATTAATGTGAAAGGTTTGGAGAGTAATACTGTACTTAACGCGATGACCCTAAACAACTTGACTAATTACTTGGATGATTGGGTGATTGAAGTCAAGAAGGGACTTCTGGAGAAGAATTTCCCTGTGAATTCTTTATCTTTGGAATTGTCATGGTATTCTAAAATTGCACAGTAAATCACCTTGGGTGACAGTTACTAATTTATAGTTCATCTTATTTCATTATTTGAGTATTTTGATCATTGTCTTCATACCTTTCTTTGCTAGGTGCTAAGCTCTACCAGTACGCTATGTTGTCGCTGTTCCCGTTCCCAAAGCTTATGACAACCATCGTTATTGCCTTCATAATACACAGTTTGGCCAGCACCAGTATCGTTGAAGTTAACACCGTCTAGTAGGCCAGGTCTTCTAGTTGCTGCACAACCTTCCAACTTTGCTTGTAACAATCACTAAAGATATCTGTATAATTATCTTGAGTAGGTCTGTAGGTGTCTGTCCATCACATTCCAAGGGAGAAGAATCTGGTTGCGCATGAATTGGCCTGTTATGCAATGGCAATGGCAATGACTGTGGGGCACAAGGATCACTTCGAGCTCCAGATTGTGCCAAGCAAGCTCTGGAGCGTGATAGTCGCAACATTTATGCTTGATCTGATGTTTCTGCTGTTCATATTGCTGCTGCTGTGTTACATCTTCAAGTTCTGTTGTACTCCGTATTATAAAATTGGTAGTCTGGTTGGTAGGTAGGCTTTTTGGGTTATTGCCTGCTGGTGCTTCTTGGCTTTTGTTTTTCCCCTGTATTTGCCCCTATAATTATGGGCTGCTAAACTCTCTTATGGCCAAGGCCTTTTATAATACTTCTCTTGTTAAGAAAAATGACCCTTTTGAATTGTTGGACACCATCGTGAGTAACCACACTACTACTACTACTACTATTTTTTTTTTTTTGAAAGAATACTACTACTTCTACTTCTTGGTCTGTACTTAAACAGCTTTCGAAACCAAGAACTTTTCTATATACTTCATAAATATTTTGCTTTTTGTAACTTAATCAATGATTTCCTAACTACTTAAATGTAAACTTTTTAACGTATATTAAATTATTGAGTGCTTATTTTCATTGTATAATACTCGTATGTTTTTGTAGCTTATTCCCTCCATTCCTTTTTATTAGTTAAAGAAAAAAAAAAACTCATGTAATTGGTGGAGCATGTGAATCAAAAAAGGAGTACAACTTTTTAGTGCATACTATACTTCCTCTTTATGTATGTGATTGTACCCAGGCAATGTGATTAGGAGCAAAAAAGTACAAAAAAGAATACTCTGTATAAAAATAGAAAATAAAATATAAAACTCTTAAAACATTTGCACAAATTTAAATTGTAAGATAAGGGCAAAAGGGTCAAATAAGTACATCCAACAATAGTAAAATACCTAAACATAACACTCGAAGTATATTTTTGCAAGGGTAGGATCCAATAAAAGTCCCTTTAAAAGTTAACAATGGAGACTAGTCTAAATTACATACCTAATTAGCTACACAAACTTAGCTTCAACATTTTGAGGAGTTGTACAAAACTATTTGCTACAAATTTTGTAAAAACACTTACGTCCTAGCCTTTAATTTATTCAAATGCGTTGATCGGATTTGGTAATGAAATGAGCACAGAGCACGTGTATTCTTTCCGTCCTGGACTCAATGACACTTTTTTTCTCAACTTCGACTTTTTTTTTTTTTTTTTTTTTAAACTCCTTATTAGGTGTGAAAAAATGTTAATAAATAAATTGTTGGATTTATCTTAATGTATATTATTGGATTATTAAGGTACATTAAAACATGGTTAAAATTCAGGGAAAAAAAATATATGTTAAATATTTTGGAATAAAGGGAGTATTAGTTGCATACTTTCTCTGTTTAACTAAAAATTAGAACAATTGCAATGAGAAATTAATTAATGCAATATGCCAATATGGAAGAGTATTCAAAAGAATAAAAGTTAAAAATACGAAGTATATATTTTATAAGGAATATAAGTGTTTCGGGTGAGCTCCGATAACTGATGTCTGGGGTCGGTAAAGGTTTATTGTCCAACTGCAAACCTGCACAATCAACGAGGATTAGCTAGCCTGGGGGATTATTCGGGGATAACTGCTCTGATGTTAAAGTTAGCAATTGGATGATATATGAGTAAAAATTTAAAAAAAAAAGTGAGAGAGAGTCGGATTTAGAGAGAATACTCTCCTGTTGAAAGAATCAATCAAATCCTTAATCCCATAATAGGGGTCGACTACATGAACCAAATTTGATTATTCCGTGTATTCATCGATAAAGATCCTCCTCCTCCATCCCTTACGATCCAAAGTCTCATCTTCATGCAAATCCATATACTTCATATCCTTCCTAACTCCTTCCCACCAAGTCATTTTTGGTCTCTACCTCGTTTAACCCCTCCATGGTCTCACTCTTCCACTACTATTCGTACCGGTGCACCCTCGGGTCTCCGTCTTACATGCCCAAACCAACGCAGACGATTTTCCCTTAATTTGTCTGCAATGCATGTCTGCCATACCTACCTTCTTGCGAATAACCTCATTTCTGATTCTATCTTTTAGAGTGTTTCCACACATCCACCTTAACATTCACATTTCTGTAACCTCCATCTTTTTAATGTGCTCCTTCTTAGAAGCCCAACATTCTGTACCATAAAGCAACACTGGTCTTATGGCAGTCTTGTAGAATTTTCCCATTAACTGTAAGGGAATGCTTCGGTCACATAACACCACCCGTGGTCGCTCTCCACTTAAGCCACCCCAACTTAATCCAGTGGGCCATGACTTGATCAATGTCACCATTCTTCTGGATGATCGACCCAAGATATTTAAAACATTGGCTCATGGTCAAGTCCTTTCCATCCAAACTCACCACCTCATTGCTTGTCCCCTCTGAGTAGCAAAGCGGCATACCAAATATTTAGTCTTACTCCGACTTAGCTTAACCCTCTAGATTCCAACCTTTGCCTCCATTGCTCCAACTTGGCATTAACAACATCTTTAGTTTCATCCACCAAAACGATATCATCCGCAAACAGCATACACCATGGGACTTCATTTTGAATTGGTCTAGTTACTTCATCTAGAACCGTTGCAAAAAGGAAAGGGCTTAATGCAGACCCTTGATGCAATCCAATTGTAATAGGAAAATCTTTTTTCAACCCTCCACATGTCCTCACATTTGTTGACACATCCCAGTACATATCCTTAACCAGGTCCATGTTTGAAGGCACATGATATTTATCCATCTTCTCTTCATCACTTCTACCACTTCTGCTGATTTCCCCGTAAGAGACCCCACATTCCAAGACCCAATCCGCAAACTAAAGTCCTTCCTCACACGCTCACTAGTACCACACTCCCTCGTGTCCCCACCTACAAGCCCTTGATCATTTGACACCACACTTGGGCAATGTGGCGCGTCGCTTTCGGGCGACGACCTAGCAACCCTTGTATACTTATCACAGCACCCGGGTTTGGAAAGTGCAGCGCGTCGCTTAGTAGGGAACACCCCAATGGCACGCCCTTGCTCATTTGACACCACACTCGGGCAATGTGGTGCGTCGCTTTCGGGCAACGACCTAGCAACCCTTGCATACTTATCACTACACGCGGGTCTAGGAAGTGCAGAGCGTCGCTGAGTAGGGAACGTCCCCACGAAAATATCAGTTTTGCTCATGTCATGGGATGTGGCAAAGTTTTACATTGGCTGTCACTGGCCTACCAAAACCCTCCTCCTTTATCCAGGCTTGGAATTGGCAGCGAGAAACCCACTGGCAGAGTTCCTGTTGAAAGAATCCTTCACATTATTAATTTGATTTAGAGGAGAGCCAAATTCTCCTTTTCATTAGATCCTTCTTTGTATTATTAAGCACTTTGGGGTTGTTTGGCAATCGGCGGTTGGGTGTTTGTTGTTGGCTTGTTTGCTTGGCTTGTTTGACTAGTTGGAAGTATTAGCTGTATGGATTGGTTTTTTAAGCTAGTTGTTTAAGCCGACTTTTTACAAAAGTGTTTGGTAAAATTATTAATGGTTGTTAGCAGTGTATTAGTGATAAGGTGGGCCAACAAGCCAAAAGCCAATAGAAAAAACTACTTCTATTAACTTTTGGACTTTGGCAGAAAATCCAGCTTAAAAGCCAACAAAAAAACTAACTAACAAACATATTTGATAGCTATTTGACCAAATTAAAAAGCTAAAAGCCAAAAACAGGCAAAAAATCAATTCCAATTTCCAAACACCCCCTTTGTTATTGTATATTTTAAGTACTAGTAGATTTTTCCGTTAATAAAACTTTTCAATAATCCCATCCCAAACCCCAGAAAAACCTCCCCTCCCAAAAAAAAAAATTAACTTGAGAAAAACCTAAGTCCATTAACACTCTGACTTCCATTTTTATACCTTCATTTTTCTCTCTCTTTGTAACAAGGATTGTTCTTTGACGAGGTAAGCTTTCGCCTTATCTATCTTCAATTTTAAGAATTTAAAGTTTAATTTTGATTTGTGTCTGATTTTTTTTAGTATTGACTTCTTTGTTAATTAATGTTCAATATTGTTTATAAACGTTTTTTATGAACCAATTGCTAATTTTATTGGTTGATTTCATGCCCAATTTCATGGTACGTTGGACGCTTGAATATGTAATTTATTTTTCCATAAATTTTCGATTCCATTTTTCAGAGGATAGCTTCTTTAAATAATAATCTAGGTCTTTTTTTGTAAGAAATTCTGCAAAGTGTACTCTTTGGTGCTCATATATTGCTATTTCACTATTTGGAGAATGCCCTTTTGTTAGCTGATAATTTCGGAACTTGAAAACAGAGGAAATCATTTGAAACCCTGATAGGATATGTAGCTTGTGTTTATTTCGTTGAAGATTTATCATATGTTAATTTGGAAAACTATGCTTTTTTGTAAGCTAGTATAAAAATGGAGGATGTAGTTAGTTAAATAATGTGATAGGTTGCCTAATTGTTGTATAATATGGGTGAGATGATTCCCTTGTTTCATTCAGGGAAAGATAATTGCTGCAACATTATGATTTGTAAATCTGTTTGAAAAGAGATAATTTGTTGATATGATTTGTTTCTTTCATTGTCATAGGAATTTTGTGAGCGAATTTGAGTATATATCCAGATGAATAGATATTGGCCTCTCTTTTCCAAATTCAGACGGTTTCATAATAGATACTGCAATTCACATATCAGATGGCGCAATGACATTGCTTCTTGTCAAGGAAGAAGCAGAGAGGATGCGGCCTTTTGTCTGAGACAGTATTCGAGTCTTGGAGTGAATATGGTTCGGGAAAGTAGTGAGGATATTCATTCAGATGGGATGTATGGAACTCCTGAAAATCATAATGATTTTTATAAGTTAGGTGACTCCAGTCCCCGGGGTGGGAATGTAAATTACAGACAGAATGTGGGACACTTTCAGCATCTGTCTAGTCCAATGAATCATTATGTTACAAATGAATGGACGACTTCTCAAAATATTGGTCACCCTATGACAGAGAAAATTGAAGTAGGTTTACAACACCCTGGATACTCCAATGGTGGAGAAAATGCAGCATTTCAGCCAATTAGTAACCACCAGACTATGAGCAATGGTCAGTATCAGCAAAATCCTAGTAACGTGTATATGGTGAATGGAGTAGCATCCCCTCCTGGTGGTTACCAGCAAGAACGTGTGGACACTAGATCGAATTTGAATTCATATCATCAAGTAAATGCTGGTGGATATCATAACACTCATTTGGGACCTCATCAGCAGAAGTTTAATGGATCACGCAATCCTAACATACTTCCTCAGCAACAAGTAAGTGCTACTCATCATGGACAATTATCAGCTGGAAATGATGAATTGGATGAGGATAATGATGTTGAGGGTACACTTGAAGAGTTAGATGTTTTTTGTGAAGAGTGGGATCTTGAACATGCTGTGAAATCCATGAGAAAGCTGAGCAAGAGGGGAGTTTTTATAGACATGCCTCGTTACTTGATACTGATAGATGCATGTGGGAAGGGCAAAGCTTTAAAAGAAGCACAAGATGTTCATCAGAATATTGTCAAATATACTTCTCCTGTTAAAGTTAGCGTTTTTAACAGGATACTGGAGATGTATGGGAAATGTGGTTCAATGGATGATGCCTATAATACATTTAATAGTATGCCTGAGCGTAATTTAACTTCATGGGACACCATGATTACTTGGTTTGCAAAAAATGGTCTTGGAGAAGATGCCATTGATATGTTCACCAAGTTTAAGGAAGCAGGACTGAAACCAGATGGTCAGATGTTCCTTGGTATATTTGATGCTTGTGGAGTTCTCGGAGATGCAACCGAGGGAATGCTTCATTTTGATTCGATGACCAAGATACACGGCATTACTCCAACCATGGTTCATTATGCTAGCATAGTGCATATGTTCGGCAGTGCAGGTGATCTAGATGGAGCATTAGATTTCATTGAGAAAATGCCTGTTCAGCCTAATGCAGTTATCTGGGAAAGCTTAATGAATATTGCCAGGGTCCAAGGAAATATAGAAATAGGGGATCATTGTGCTCAAATTGTGGAGCAGCTGGATCCTGCTCGCTTGAGCAAGGAGTTGAAGGATGGGCTTCTACCGGTTAATGATTCAGACACTCCAAAGAAGAAGGTGAAGAAGTATAATCCGTTGGCACATACAAAGCATGAATACAGAGCGGGTGATAGAACACATCCAGAGAATGACAAGATTTATAAAGTTCTAAGGGGAATAAAAGAATCGGTAAAAGAAGCTGGGTATGTTGCAGAGACCAAATTTGTTCTTCATGACATTGACCAGGAGAGCAAAGAGGAAGCAATCATGGCGCACAGTGAGAGACTTGCTTGCACCTATGCACTACTTACGAACCCAGCTCGTATGCCACTTCGTATCATCAAAAACCTTCGCGTCTGTGGTGATTGCCACAATTATTTCAAGATAATTTCAAAACTTGTAGGTAGGGAGATCATTATGAGAGATGCTAAGAGATTTCACCATTTTAAAGATGGAAAATGTTCCTGCAATGACTACTGGTGAATGATTTTACGACAGCAAAAGGTAACCCTGCATCACCTTGTTCGTTATATATTATTGTAACATTTCTCTTTTCAGAGTCGATCTTGGTACTTAAATTTATGTGCCCAAGGTTGTATTGCCCAGATGCCAATAGTATAATTCACATTGGAGGTTTGATATTATTTCAGCACATTCAAATTTCAAAGTGGGATACGTAGGAATTCTAGGAAGTGTAGGCAAGGATCAAAACTGTGTTTACATATAGAAAAATGCAAATTGTAGTTTGGAAAATGAAATGCTAAAATGGTTTCACTATGTTTTCTAACTTCATTTTCATGGCAAGTTCTCTACTCTGAGCTAGCAATTTTCTGTTAGAATCCTATCATAATTCATAAGGTTATCAACTTCCCTGGCTATGCTTACTTCGAGCCTCCTAGTTGACATGTTCTGGAGGCTCGTAGCTGACATCTTTCCTTGACAGTGAAGAATTGAGTGATGGATTAGCATTGTATGTTCTGTTGGGTTCATTGTTGAAGAGGTCAAACGGAAGATCCAATGATTTTTTTGAAGTTGAAGATGCACGCTTCTTGTCCTTAAAGGTTCCTGCAGGCGAATGTACATTGTACTCATGCTCAATTGTTTCAGGATCTGAAAAGATCAGAGAACCAACTGGAAGTTCATTTGACTGTTTCTCATTGGCAACTTTCAGAGGACCCAGTGTTTGCCCCTTGTCAGAAAAGTTCCCTTGTACCCCAGCAGAAAACCCTTCTTTGGTGTTTGATGTATTGATCACAATTTTTGGACCTTTTCCTAACATGATCAAGTATGTGCTCAAGTCTTCGGACTTCTTTTCTGTTTACTTCTATTTGAGGATGAAATACGCCTGATACAACATATTACGAAGATTAAATTGAACATGAGGTGCAGAATTGAAGTTGTATTCATCATGCTATTTTACCTGCTGACTCTTCAACATTGTTAGTCTCTTGATTAACAGTTGCATCTCCATTGATGTCAAGATGGCCACAGTACTGTCTTCCTAAATTAACCACTTGTTGTTTGTTGGTATTACCCTTAACTTCTTCAGAAAATTCAATCATGCCAGGAGAAACATGCTGCTGTACACAAATGCTCTTTGTTGGCAAAGTTGAAGCTTCAGACGTAGTAAAATTAATGGCACTGGACTTCTTTATGGCAGGGAAATCCTTGGCCTTATTACGAATGTGATCAAAGATATGATCTTGCAGTCATCCTCAGCAGCTTTATCATTAAAACTGCCTTCAAGAACACACCTCAATACAGATTTCAGTATCCATAAACAGAAAATAAACAGAAAAACCAAATTAGCCTTTACAGTTGATTTTCCTTGTAGATGGTTTGGCAAAACCACTGTTGTCTGGTATGGGCTGTAAACAAAAGAATTATCTCCAACAACAGATGCAAGAAGGTAGCAACATTCACCAACTAAGAGTCTATGAATAGATACAAAGGCTTAGTTGAAAATATATTAAACTGAAATCCTTTGATTTAATCTCAAATTTGTATATTTGTCCATATCATACTAGAAGATGCAGACACAGAGAGACTAGAACCTCTGGAAAATAGTGGGTCTTGGATGTCTAAGCTAGACTAGATTAGGGTTGTTTAATTGCACGCGATTTAAATCTTTGAAGGGTAATTTACTCAAATAGTAGTACATTATATGATCATTTTTGCATCCATATTTAAAGGGGTAACAAAATTGAAGGAAAATCTTAAGGGGTAACAAAATTGAGCCTATGTACTACATTTAAATAGTGTAGTATATGATCATTTTTGCATCCATGTTTGCTGCCTTGCCGGGGGGGCTGTGATCGACAAGATCCAAAAGGCCCATAAGCTCATCAACCCAACAAGCAGAAGCTTCCAGAATGATTCTTCACAGATTTGGAAACACATTATCTTCTTCTGTTTGGTATGAGTTTAAGTTACAATGTTACATTGAACTGTTGAAGCTAGAGGAGATATGACGAAGGGAGAATGTGTTTGGCAAATAGCATTTGGAAGTGGATCTAAGTGGAATAGTATAGTATGGAAATGTAATAGAAATGTTGATCCAAAAATTGATGGGCTTATTGCATAGGTATCCTGTATATATTCTGGACATTTGGAACTTCATTAATTCATTATATATTTATATGGATATGTAAAATAAGAAAAATAAAACATATTGGTATCACTTTGATTTGGATCATACGTGTCTCATTGATCATTATTTCACTTTGACTTTGCTACGAGTATACAAACTTGTATTGTGAATTGCTATTACAGTAATGAAAATTATAAATACCTAAGTGTAACGTCATCTATGTATATCACTAATTTAGTCAACAAAAGAAGCGAATCAATTGATGAAACACTCTTATACGAAGTAGTAATAGTAATATAAGTACACGTCTAATGTAAACAGTGGTCAATGAGTAGGTGGTTTAGCTCTGAAATTATGGAAATAAACAATAATCAAACATTTTCTACACTCATTTTTGGATTATAGAGAGCTTCTTAAAGCATCAATGTCAAACTAATTTCGGCACACCAAAAATGAGTTAAAACTGATTTTGACGCTTTAAAAATTGATTTTGGCACACATCTATTTGAAAAAAGCATATAAAACTTTATTTGCACAATGGGTGTGGTAAAATCAAATTTTGATGTACCAATCATTTTCTCATTTTTAGATGTACTTTATAATCCGTATTATTAGTCTATTATTGAAACCATTATACTAAGTAGGGAGACGTGATTTTCTGTAGTTGATCTTCCTTCTTTCTAGTCCTTTACATTAAATTATCCCAACGAAAATTTGCTGGAAATGTAGCTTTTTGGGAAGTAGTAGTGAAGTTGAGTACTGTTACTTAGATTTATTTGTCAGCAAAAAAAAAAAAAAAAAAAAAAAAACCTTTAATGGCATAACTACTTTTTATGGTTGGGTCGCACGGTTGTATAAATTATGAAAATTGATGTGTAAAATTGTGTATGTGGCTCCCTAACCTCCAAAAACATAAACTAATTAGGGTTTGAGTCTATAAAACACGAGTAATTCTATTTCACTGTACAACTAATTGATAATGACATTGCTACATTATTTGCCTAACTTAACTTATTAATTAGTTAGCTATCTAAATCTATTTATGCCACACATATTGTCATGAATTCATGATATAATAATGATATTAATAATATGATTAGCTAACTAGTTAATCCTTAGATCCAACTAGCATCCTAAAAGTAAAAACAGTTGGATAATCCCTATCATATGGGGCTCACTTAGAATATAATTGTCTTTCTCGATCTCGATTGCTTTAATCTCCTATATAAGTAACTTTATGATTAATTTACTAAGTTAAACTATATGATCAATATATATATGTGATTTAGGAGGGACACACGACGACTAACATACACGAGTATTAAGTATGGTATGCTGCCTCTCTCATTACTAGTTCGTTTTAATACAAAACCTTATCATGACCAAACTTTCTCACACATAGAATGTAAGTATGCGACACTTCTTGCATAAGTACATACAAAATCATTAAAGGTTTTATATTTCTCAAAATCCTTGCTTCCTCTTTACCTCCATCTAAATATGAAGCTGTATAAATGAGTGTATTTAATTTATGCCAGAATAAATCCCTGGGTATCTTTTTGAGGGAATAAATCCCTGGGTATTTGGTATAATAATATGCCTATATTTTGAAAATGGAAGTTATCAAACTTATATTTAGAAATAGAAAGACAGACCTAACCAACTAATTTCCAACATTTTTTGAAGTGATAAGGAGGGTTGCCAAGTTGGCATTGGGCACAGTTGCAACCTCCACTTATTAAATTTCCATCACTTTTATGATTTTGAGACCCCATTTAAATCTTTTTTGATGCTACTCTTGCATTATCATATATTTTTATAGTATAAATTACTCCATATTATACAGTGTTGACTTTAAATCAATAAAAATTATCCATCTCAGATAATATTTTGGACTGACAGTATACACATTAACACATTGGCATTTGGCTAACTATTGTACTATGTGCGACATCCAAGAAATATTTGGTTTTTTTTTTTTTTAAAAACTATGCCACATAAATTAATTTTATTTGTTTATATGAAAATTATGAGTAGTTTTTGTTGTCATATACTCGTACATCATATGAGAACGATGTTTCCATGATAATAGTAATGATAATTAAAGTTACGTACTACTTCTAGTATATAAGTACCAAAGATAAGTAAAACCGTACCTTCATTTTCTAGGAAGGGTTTGAATACCGCTAGGTTTACATTGTCATGTTCTCGAGCTTCACCAAAGATAAAAATCCATATATGGTTACACCCACAAATCTAAGTGTGGAAATAGAAAAGACCACTTTAATTTGCTTTAATTTACATATATGGTATAAAGTTCCCAAATCATCTTAAAACTAGTTTTGTATGTCATGTATGTAATTTGCATTGCTATCCTTTGTAATTTTACAATAGATAACTTGTCGTCGAATATGAGAATTTGGAATTACAATGCCCTCAAACAAAAAAAAAAATCGATTGATGATCTAAGATCTAAATTCCATATATATCTATATACACCAACAAATTATGATGTACAAGTTATTCTACTGTCAAAGAGCTTGAAGTTCTAGCTTAGTGTTAATTACTAACCAAACAAGACTTATGTAACAAATTTGCACATTTGAAGACAATTTTTTGGTACCAAACTAAAGATGACAGAATTAAGCATATGATAATAAGTGTAACAGTGTTTAATTTTTTCATTGTGAAATATTATAGTACAACATATGGGCAGAAGCTAAAGGTAACATTCATCTATTTCATCATAACATGGTAGATTTCTATTCGAAACCTTTATGAAAACTAAACTAAACTAAAAATAAAATCATCACAAAGGATTTTTCCCCTTGATCTTATAATATATGAGTAAACCATATTTAGTTAATCAAACAATATATGATGACAAGAAAAATAATACAAGTAACAAACAACATTTTATGTTTTTTGTTCAATTTGATAATATACCCTGGCCTTGGCCTTCATCTACAGCTTCACAATTTCGGGTATATGGACCGGGTATCGGTCAATGCAATCGTCCCAAGGGCCGTTAGCAGGTGTTTTGATTGTACGGATACACTTCCAAATTGCACTGTTACACTTAAACCCGCTTCCAAAAGCTATTTGCCAAACACGGTCTCCCTTCTTCATTCTCCCTTTGGCCTCAATGTAGCTAAGCTCGTACCAAAGGGAGGATGAAGAAGTATTCCCGAACCTATGTAAG